CCGGTCCCAATCCCTATCCCAGTCTACCCAATTTTATCCCCATCTCGGTCCCGGTCCGGCCGTATCTGGACATGAAGGACCGGGCTTGAGTTTACCTTCTATCTTCGTCTCAAACCCGGTTCTAAATTCCATCCCGGTACCAATCCCGGTCCAACATAAATTCTAGACTTCATTTATGTTTTCCGTAAAATAACGTTTTTTCTAGAAAAATGATAAAATTTTGTATCATTACAAGTTTGAAGAAGTACAATATTCTAAAATGATGAAATGGACATACCTATATTGTGAAAACAATGGATTCGAGATAACGGATTATGTGTGGACCGATCGATTGGATAATGTGAGCCAACAATCACGTGGAGAAAATCTTGAGTATTGGAAAAAAAAAACGTGACTTGCGTGTGTGTGGTGATTTGGAGTTGAAAAAACAAAGTGAGAATTGTTAAGTTGGTGGTTGGTGAAAAATTTATTATATCATAAATGCATTTATTATGAAATGAGGGCAATTTAGTCAATTTACATGATAAAATAAGGGGAGGGGTCAGAAAACTGAGGTGAAGGGGTCCTGAATAAGTAAAAATTAAAAGGGGGTCAAAAATCCAGAGTGGTTATTGAAAGGGGTCAAAAATCCCAATTACCCGACAATTTTCAACCTGGGACGTTACATTTGAAGTGTAAATTGGTTCTTCATTTATCCCTCAATTTTTACTCATTGAATTCTTATTGGAGGTAGATTTGTTTTTATCGAATAAATATTCTTTCGGATAAAGATATTTTCAGAACTTCCAACATTTTTTTTTAATCGAGAATATATATCGTTCACTATTTTTTATTACACGATTTAAAATTTTTTATTGATAAATTACATTAATGTCTAATCATTTGAATTGCATCATAAATTTATTTGACAAATAAGTATATTTCTACTCAGCAATGATTCTTATGGACAAAACATTAACATATTTCCTTCTCAGCTTTAACAGCTCAATTATAAATAAAAAGATTACAAAAATAAAAAAATAACAGTAATACTACCACTATTCTCTCTGTCAACAACCAAGAAATTATTCAATATGTCTAATACAAGGAAGACATTAACTTTTGAACCATTACGTATTATAAGAAAGAAACTTAAAATACTTTTTAACAATATTAATTTCTGAAATTTGGGTGCTCCTAAATATTGCAATTCTCTTGTCTTTTTAAAAACTCATTTGGGTCCTTATATATTTTCAATTTCTTTTTCACTTTAACTATGTACTTTCAAAAACGTTTATTTTAGTATTTGTATGTTTAAAAAGTGACTATTTTTATTTTTATTTACAAAATTTTGATACAAATTTATAGTTATATTTCAAAAAATTTAGTGAACGAACTATCGTGCTAAAATTTTGATCAAAATAAATGAAATAAAAATGAAAATGAAAAGATCAAAATAATCACTTTTTTAAAGTACAGGGACCAAAACGAATGTTTGAAAAATTTAAAGAGTAAAATGAAATAAAGTCAGAAAGTTTATGGAGCAAAAGAGATTATTTATTTTTGATTTTAGATCAAATCATTGTCCTTTTATTAGTAACAAATGTCTTGTCTACTTTGGATTGGGCCTAATCTCTTTAGTTATACTTAGATTGATATGTAAATAATGATTTTTGTTTTTTTTTCTGGATAACTTTTATATTTCAAAGATATTTTCACAATACATTGAAAATATTAATTATCTTCCATTATCAAGGCCAAACACCCTTCCACTTACAAAAATAAAAATACTTAGGTGTCTATGAGTCATCTCCTATCTCTTATTGACCAATAATGATGCTGATTTATAAGCAGGTGCGGTATAGGTGCCAGACGAATGTCATATATATGCATGCCTTCCCCATTCAACTCGAGGTTTGCATGTGTATAGAAATCTAGCACCTAAACTACTTGAGGTGAGAGCAAATGAATATTGAGAATGTAAAGTAATTGTAAGAGTCTTAGTGAGAATTTGCATGGAGTGTGTCACGATTCCTCATCATTTTTATGAGAGGGAGATGGTTATGTAACATCAAGGACGATGCTCGAAGGTACGATATTTTCTTTGTCAAGTAGTTGTTAAGGACAAAACTTTATGGAAGAATTCATCTGGCTCTCTAAGTATTGAAAGTATGTCTAGAGCTCTGATCCCACCCTTTCGAATTGATAAGGAGAGAGAGAAAGAGAGAGAGAAAGAAGGGTGAGTGAGATGGGATGGAGGGATCACCAACACTTTAATATCCTCCCCTGTCCAATAGAAAGACACTGCAGCGTCCAGGACGATATCTTGGCTCGTGTCATGATCCGCTCGTTCCGAACTCTTCAAACTGTGTTAGGCGTCCTTGGCTTCTTTGACTCGAGATTAGTTTGCGTGGTGATTGGGAACCCAAGCCCATGTCTATGTCTCATTGGATTTACTCAATAACAATTGTCATTTTTTACCGTTATATATATTTCTTATTTTTCAAGGAACTTAAAAAACCTTCAAATTTTTATTAGTGACGAAAGCAAATAAAGATGAGTGATTATCGATGAACGCCAGTATATTGTTCTTAGAAAAGTACAGATATTTCATAGAATTGCGAACCCCACACTACACAGGCGAAATTAAAGAAAGAGTAGCCATGGTTTCAGCATCTGCCCATTTCCGCAGCGGAGAACAGAATCACACTGACACACAACAAATTGGGCCCCACCAACCATCTGTCCCTTCCCTTGTATAAATACCGCATATGCCCCTTCTCCTCCATTTCTTCTTCTAATCCTCTTCCACTCTCTGCAAATCGGAACTCCATCAATGGCTGCCATTGCCAAATCCCCTGCCTTCATCTTCCTCTTCCTCCTATTGGCCTTCCATCTCCACGCCTCCCCTATCAACACCATCGTCGTCCTCGTCATGGAGAATCGCTCCTTCGACCACATGCTCGGCTGGATGAAGCGAATCAATCCCGAGATCAATGGCGTCGATGGCTCCGAATTCAACCTCCAGTCGGCTGCGGATCCCAACTCCAACCGCTTCTTCTTCCAGGACCAGTCTCACTATGTTGATCCCGATCCTGGCCACTCCTTTCAAGCCATTCGGGAGCAGATTTTCGGCTCCGATAATACCTCCGCCAATCCCCCGCCCATGAACGGCTTCGCTCAGCAGGCCTTCTCCATGGACAACACCTCCGCCATGTCCCGGGATGTTATGAACGGATTCCACCCCGATAAGGTCGCTGTGTACAAGACTCTCGTCTCCGAATTTGCGGTTTTCGATAGGTGATTTTGATTTTTTGATCTGTTGAAATTTTCTAGATCCCGATTATTGTGTTCTGAGTTTCGAGGATTTTCGGAATTGTTAAAACGATCAGTCGATTAGGTACTTTTGATTGTAAAGGAAAATCGGAATGCGCGAATTGAATGATTTGCAGGTGGTTCGCGGCGGTGCCGTCATCGACGCAGCCGAATCGGCTCTTCGTTCACTCGGCGACCTCCGGCGGTGCTACCAGCAACATTCCGGCGCTCCTCGCCAAAGGCTATCCGCAGCGAACAATCTTCGAGAATCTGGACGATGCCGGAATGTCGTTCGGAATATACTACCAGAACATTCCGGCGACGCTGTTCTACCGGAATCTACGGAAGCTGAAGTACGTGAACAAGTTCCACCAGTACGATTTGAACTTCAAGCGGGACGCGAGGAAGGGGAAGCTGCCGAGGTACGTGGTGGTGGAGCAGCGGTACCTGGATTTGGCGCTGGAGCCGGCGAACGACGATCATCCGTCGCACGATGTGTATCAGGGACAGATGTTCGTGAAGGAGGTGTACGAGACGCTGAGATCGTCTCCGCAGTGGAACGAGACTCTGTTCGTCATCACCTACGACGAGCACGGCGGATTCTTCGATCACGTGCCGACGCCGGTCACCGGAGTTCCTAGCCCCGACGGCATCGTCGGGCCGGAGCCGTTCCTGTTCCGATTTGATCGGCTTGGGGTCCGAGTCCCGACAATAATGGTCTCGCCTTGGATAGAGAAGGGCACTGGTACGTATCTTTTCTCTCCTTAATCCTTGTACTTTTTTGTTACTTATATCATATATATTTTTTAAATTGATATTATAGCTTTTAATTGTTTTTTATACCATAGATATAAGATTGAAGGATTATGATCTTTAAAAATAGGAGCTTTGTGTTAGATTTATAAATGGACTAAAATAAAAAGATTTGAACTTCCATCTCGAAGGAAGATGGAACTATATGTCTTTATCCTCGAACTAAATAAAATTTAATTCACGAATAAATAAATGATGCATAATCATATATTTTGCTGATTTGTTAATTTTTAGGAAATGTTTATATAGGACTTGCGTTTTAAGTCACCTCTTAGTAGATTAGGGGTGAGTTTCAAAATAGTTTGGAGTATTGTTTAAAAAACAGTCAATAAAAATTTAAGCACAAACAAAATAAATATGAAAGTTATTAGAGTAGAATTCGGCCTCAGTTGAAATATAATTGTGAAAATATGACAAAATAAATATGTATTTTTAAATATAGTAGAAAGTTTACCATTTTAAAAAATAGGATAATTCAAGTTAAAATTAAACTCAAATATTAGTAGAACACACCAAAAAGAATTTATCTTAATATTATTGTTGTAAAAGTTCTAATTCACACAATTATAAGAGAGAATAACCCCATTTCTTCTAAAAATAAAGCCATCCACAATATATAGTAAAGAAAACGAAATAATATTTAATCGATAATTAATAAACCAAAACACTAAAAATGTAAGTTTAAGCAGAATTTAATGTGCAAGTATCCTAAAAATTAATGAAAAAAAAAGTACATGTGTTTTAATTTTATCCAAAAAAAAGTAGGAAGGAAAATGCAGCACAGCTCAGTTTTGGCTTTTTGTGGTCATTTGGGCACCGAGCAGAGATAATTAAAAAGGGGTTGAGATGTTGACATTCTTTTTTTATCGTCACATTTTCAGGTTTTCCCACCGCTTTTCTGAAACCAATACCAAACTTCATTAATAAAGCAAAGAAAAGCAAAGCAGATCAGAGATTTTATTTTATTTTTATTAAAAACCCCACTTGTTTTCTTTTCCCACACCATTTTTGTTGCCTTTCCGTGTCCAAAACAGTAGTTAAGCAGCAATGGAGTCTCTCCTTGTCCAACCAAATGCTTTTGGGACTGAATTCATTTACGTTTGGTGAGCTGTTTTCTTTTATGTTGGAGGACTATAGAGTAAGAACAAAGATGGAAATCCCATTAAAATTTCCAAATATAAAAGAAATCTAATCTTATTCGGATCTGTTTTGTAACTTTTGTTTGGTCAGTAAACTTTGTATGCATAGTTTACCCATTTCTTTTTCTTGGGATAAATTACTAATTTGATTAGTTTGATTTTGGTTTAGCTTCAATTTTGTACTTGTCTTTTGAAAGTTTTAATTGGATCTTTATGAAGTTTTAATTGGATCTTTATGGTTTGGTCAAACTTCATGAATCATCTCTACTGATCTCTACTCGGATGAGTCGTTATCATGTCATGGATTGATATTTTCTATTTAGTTGACTAGGTTAGCTAATCGTGTATTTAAATTTTAAGTGTAGGACTAGACAAAAAGGAAAAAGAAGAAGAAAGGGAAAAGGAGTGGATTTTTTTAGAGGTGAAAAATAGTTTAGAGATGATTTGTGAAGTTTACCTAAGCCTCATAGGCCAAATTGAAACATTTAGAATCATGTAAACCAAAATTGAGACTAACTCAAGACTATTGAAACCATAAATTTAAAATTTTCAAATATCATAGGGATTAAGTTGAAATTCTCATAGACAAAATTGAAACTTTAAAATTTATAAGGACTAAATTGAGACTAAGTCCAAACCGATGGGATGAAATCGATAATTTAACAGTTTTGTATTTTCATTGTTTTCTTGACTAATCATTAAAAAGAATTTACATCTATTTCAGAAATTCAAATGTTTAGGCTAGATCAATAAATGAACAAAAAATGTGTTTTATGTCATGTGTGTTTTCGTTAAATTTTTACAAATAATAATAACCACTAAGTGGTTTTTTATACTAAGGTCATGCATTAAAATACTTAAATAGGATGTTATGATAATGTTATAGAGACAAAAGCGGAATAAAATTAGAAGTATGAGATCCCAAAATAGACTTTATACCAATAAATTATGAATTATATACTTATAAAGCTTTAAATCTACAAATTCTAGGTCTATATTTCAAAAAAAAAAAAAAAAAAATTAACCTTTCCGGCAGGTGTTTGATAAACTACATTTTTTGCTCTCTCTGTTAGAACTCATTTAGTTTTAGTTCTAAGGGAAATTTTATGGTAGTATAGTAGTATGGAAAATGCTTAAAAATTTGTACTTATTCAACTAATTACAAATTAGGAGAACTAATTAATAATCTCTCTCTCTCTTCCATAAAATTTGGAATGAGTGTATAAATTCCAGCATCGAATACCTTAATTTCAATTAATCAGAGAGGTTATTTAATGACTTGTGTTGTGTGATGGTGATGCAGTTGTTCATGGCCCTAAAGGACCATTTCCAACATCAGAGTATGAACACTCCTCCATTCCAGCCACTGTCAAGAAGCTCTTCAACCTCCCATCTCCCTTCCTCACCAAGAGGGACGAGTGGGCCGGATCCTTCGAATCCATCGTCCAAACCCGCACCGAACCGAGAACCGACTGTCCCGGTGAGCATTCCATTACTACAAACCATACATACTTTATCCTTTCAACTTATGAAGCTACTTAATTATGTTTGCTAGAACTGCTCCCAACGCCGGTGAAGATCAGGAACAGCCCGGCGAACGAGAACGCAAAGCTGACCGAGTTTCAGCAGGAGCTGATGCAGCTGGCTGCAGTGATGAATGGAGATAGTACCCTGACTAGCTACCCTGAAGCCATTGGAAAGGAAATGAGTGTGAAGGAAGGTAGGGAGTATATGAAGGAGGCCGTGAGGAGATTCTTTGAGGCAGGGCGGTTGGCTAAGAGAATGGGAGTGAGTGAAGACCAAATTGTCCAAATGAGACCATCTCTTTCTTCAAGATCATCAAAACCTCCCATCAAACACCACCCATAAAAGATATTATGACACACACACAGAATTTAGATTGCATCTTCAGTTGCATATGAAAATAAAAAGGAGAAGAAGAAAACGATCGAAGACGTGCAAAGTCGATCATGTGACGTTTTACGGGGTGTTTGGCTCATGGTATAGATTTGTGTAGACTAGAATAATTTAGAAGTCGAGTTTATGTTTGGTCTGTTGTTTAATACAAAGAAAAAGAAAATACGGAGTTGGATAATTTCAAGTGTTAGATATATAAGTGAGGTTGTCTAACTACATATTACCTTTTACAAATTAGGTTAATAAATTACACATTTTTATGCTAATTGATATATGGAGAATTTTAACCAATCTCTAGACCCAGTAGTTACCGGAATCATATATTTTGCATATATATAATTATTCTACTCGCTCCATGAAAATGATCACCCCACTTAATCTAAATTTAAATGTGATTGAAATCAAAATTTAAAATATGGGTGGAAATATAGAGGTCTAAATTATATGAAAATCTCCATGAAAATATGAATAGAGTAATCAGTATTTCTGAAAAAAAATCATAAAAATATTTAAATTAACGAATAGGTATTTCATCATTTTTAAATAAAGAAAAAAAATCTTATTACTAATATTATATCCATATTAATGATATTTTGTTGATATTTTTTATATTTATCAACTTTTCTGTGATACTATATGGAAATGTGATTAACCTTTATGTCAATATCGAACCCATGGATGTTTCCAGGGGATAGCTTGGATGGCTTGAAGCTTATGAAACATCCAAGCAATGTGTATAAAATTTACACACCCAATTTACTAGTATACCCTTTTGTATCTATACTTCTAAAATTATTTTAGAAGAGGTTACAATTTAAATCCGTTAAATTTTCCATAATTGAAAAAATTTGAAAACCCCTCCTTCTCCGATTTTTCCTTCCTTTCTTGTTCGAAGACTGCTCCGTTCAGATATATTGAGTTTGAATTCATCGCTTTGTCATCAGTATATATGGGGATATATCTTATAGTGTATACATTTAGTTCCATAATATTTATAGAAATACAAATCATTGACATTGATATCTAATTATTCTCTATAAAGTTTGAATAATATATAGTTTGTAAGTTATAAAACAATATTAAAAGGTATATAAATTATATTAACCGTATCCATAATAATATTTGAATTCAAAAGTCTTCACGGTATATACGTTATATCATAAAAATATACAAATGAATACTTAATTGTTAATATTCTATAATAATATGTGATATGTAAATTAGATCTTACTTAAAAGACGTATATACATAATGTTAATTACATCGTGTGAATAATAGTAGATTTCAAAAGTACAAGTAGAATATATGTTATAACCGTATATTGTATATATGGGAATATATGAGAATATATCGTATATGAGAATATATTGACTGAAGCAGCATATATTGTAAATATTAGAATATATTGTATATGTGGTATATATCTTATACATAATTCTAGCTATTTTATTTACCTATCAGACCATCATGGATTTGTGAAAGGAAACCCCTAAAGTTGATAGTGTGGTTGGCTCCAATGTAATTTAATCAAACAATTTCAAACTGGAGTGGTCAATTGTGTGGGAACTTCACACAGAAAAAATCATATGAAAAAATATTGTTGGATCAAAATTGGATATTTTTTTAATTAATAATAATGGTAAATTATAGGAAAAAAATCTTTTTTGAAGGAGTGAATTAAGGGATTAGTGTTGAAAATTTATATGGGGTCCACAATAATTAAAGGAATATGATTACAATTATAGAATTAAATATTTTAAATTTCAAAATAATAAAAAACTATAATAAAAGTGTATATAATAAATAAGGGTAAAATCAGTATTTAAATAAATCCTACGTGGAGAAATCTAAAACTGTAAAATTGGAAAACTTTAGACATTTATGTAAATAAGTTTCTAAAACAGACCTTTTGAAGATATTATGTCAAAACAAAATGTGTCAAAACAAAATGTTGTTTTGTTGATTAAAACCATATCCCATGTAGGCTTTTTATTAAATTTTGAATTGGGCCTTTTAGTTGCATAAGCCCATGTGTAGTTGGTTTATTTTAGGTGTGCTCCAGCCCATAGGGTTTTGAGCTTTTCCCTCTCCCTCATTTTTAGGTATTGAAGCAGCAAACTCTTTTTCGTTGGGGAGCAGTAGCCGAACGTGAGGAAAAAATACAGAAGAGTTCGTTTCTTTGACGGGTTACCTCTTCCGGTTGTATTCTTTTTGGAAATTGAAGTTAATGAAAGTTTTCTCTCACCTTGCAGAGTGGTGATAGTCCACATTCATCGCTATAAATTTTGATGTTGTCTTCTCTGCTTCTCTTTACTTGATTTAGACATTCATATTATTTAGTGAATTTATTTAGATGTTTATTAATATTGTGTTTTCTCCACTCCTCTTTACTTGATTTAATCATTCATATTACTAGATGAATTTGTTTGGATGTTTATTGGATAAATAAGTGTAGATACCGCATCTCGTCGGGATGATTTTTAATTTTATTTGATATTTGTTATTAAAATACTAAAAAATATAAAAATAACAAAATTTAAAATAGTAATAAATTTGAAATTTAAATTACGAAAGCATGAATTTTGGAATGAGAATTTTTAAGAGGAAATTTAATTTTAAAAAGATAAAAATATCTCCCTTTAATTTCTCTCCACATTCTCTCTTCCCTAATTTTCTCCCATTTCCCTTGTTTTTTTTTTCTCACTCCCTCTCTCTCTCTCCCAAGTACACACGTAACTCCCCCCTCCCCCTC